ATATCACATCAAAAATAACATTATTATCACTTTTTTTATAATTTTGCCTACAAAAAAATTGTCAACATGAATCTCATAGGACATGACAGGACAATATAAAGCCCCCTGAGCCACACAAAGTTTTGATAATAGTCGTCAACCAAAAGAAATTAAATCAAGGAGTCAGAGAACCCATTGAGAGCTAAATTGGTCTGCAGTTTTTTTATAAAGTGAATCAACTGTCAACGTCATCAGGGTGATCGACCAATGTCATTATGGCGTCCGACCTACAACCGAGTCATCAGTCGATCAAACGGTCCTATTAAAATAGACCGTCAAAAAAATCTACTGTCTCATCCCTACCGACCAGATCACTAAGTCAAAGATTCTAAGATATCTCTAGCTCCCAACAAACCATATACATGTAATACCATCTGCAGTCTTTATTGAAATAGAGTTCTCAAAGATTTTGTCTATAAGCAGGTTACCCTGAGAATATGATAAAATATTACATCAACAGTCCTGATGCAGTTTTATGTGTGGATGGTAGTATATAGGTATTATTAGCAGTATTGTGGTGTTATTTTGTTAAATAACAAAATAACATCACAATACTACCAATAACACCTCCAATATTATCATCTGCATCTAATCTGTATGCAGGTCATCGATATGTAATATTTTTTTCTGAGAACAGAGGGTACACAATCTTAATCAAAAGGCCGAAAGGCCAATTCACTCGTTTTAAATTACAGTCCATTCTTTCTCTTTCTTTCTCTCGTTTACGTTCTACTTATTGGGTGTAATCCACGAGACAAATTCGGATCCAACAATCTTCATGCATAAATTTAAAACACCTCGAGTGATTTGCATGTAGAGAATACATAAAGAATTGTCTGCTGGACATGTAAATTTCCCTAAAATAAATACAAACTGTCAAAGAAAATTTTACTTGCATAACACACAAATTCCTATATAATCACATATCTCACATCTAAACTTTCATATTTACATATATAACATTTTGGTATTTTAAACCGTTGCATTAAAATAAAATTCACTTTTAAAAATTATAATAATATCATTTATATGTGATAGTATAGATTTGATGTTATATGTGTAAATATAAAAATTTAGGTGCAGGATATCTAAATAAATAAGAATTGTGGGTTATGCATGTAAATGCCCCTTTTTTTAAAATATAATTTAAAATTAATGAATATATTATATTAATTTTAAAATATGAAGATTTAGATAGAGACCACTTAATTGATTAAATTTATTTACTATTAATATATTTTATTAATTTATATTTTATTCATTTTTTATTTTTAAAATAGCTCATATTCAAAATTATGTTTAAATAGCATGGTCATGTTCAATTCATTTCGAATTCCTCTCTTGATGTGTAGCATTTACTTGGTACAGCTTAAATTATCTGAAAAAATAGAAATATTTACATACATACCACTCAATTCTTATATATTTATATGAGTTGATTTTTCAGAATTAAGTAGAATTATTTTATTAAAATGAAAGTGATGTACAAATACTTTTTACATGATTCTCATAATATGAAAGACAAGAAAAAGAAAATATCTGGAAAAGAAAGATATAACACATATATATCTAATTAGTCAATTCCTAATAATTACTAGGAGATAAAAGAAAAACATAAAATAGAAAAGGAAATAAATCTAACGAGCCACACAAAGTTTTGATAATAGTCGTCAACCAAAAGAAATTAAATCAAGGAGTCAGAGAACCCATTGAGAGCTAAATTGGTCTGCAGTTTTTTTATAAAGTGAATCAACTGTCAACGTCATCAGGGTGATCGACCAATGTCATTATGGCGTCCGACCTACAACCGAGTCATCAGTCGATCAAACGGTCCTATTAAAATAGACCGTCAAAAAAATCTACTGTCTCATCCCTACCGACCAGATCACTAAGTCAAAGATTCTAAGATATCTCTAGCTCCCAACAAACCATATACATGTAATACCATCTGCAGTCTTTATTGAAATAGAGTTCTCAAAGATTTTGTCTATAAGCAGGTTACCCTGAGAATATGATAAAATATTACATCAACAGTCCTGATGCAGTTTTATGTGTGGATGGTAGTATATAGGTATTATTAGCAGTATTGTGGTGTTATTTTGTTAAATAACAAAATAACATCACAATACTACCAATAACACCTCCAATATTATCATCTGCATCTAATCTGTATGCAGGTCATCGATATGTAATATTTTTTTCTGAGAACAGAGGGTACACAATCTTAATCAAAAGGCCGAAAGGCCAATTCACTCGTTTTAAATTACAGTCCATTCTTTCTCTTTCTTTCTCTCGTTTACGTTCTACTTATTGGGTGTAATCCACGAGACAAATTCGGATCCAACAATCTTCATGCATAAATTTAAAACACCTCGAGTGATTTGCATGTAGAGAATACATAAAGAATTGTCTGCTGGACATGTAAATTTCCCTAAAATAAATACAAACTGTCAAAGAAAATTTTACTTGCATAACACACAAATTCCTATATAATCACATATCTCACATCTAAACTTTCATATTTACATATATAACATTTTGGTATTTTAAACCGTTGCATTAAAATAAAATTCACTTTTAAAAATTATAATAATATCATTTATATGTGATAGTATAGATTTGAATGTTATATGTGTAAATATACAAATTTAGGTGTAGGATATCTAAATAAATAAGAATTGTGGGTTATGCATGTAAATGCCCCTTTTTTTAAAATATAATTTAAAATTAATGAATATATTATATTAATTTTAAAATATGAAGATTTAGATAGAGACCACTTAATTGATTAAATTTATTTACTATTAATATATTTTATTAATTTATATTTTATTCATTTTTTATTTTTAAAATAGCTCATATTCAAAATTATGTTTAAATAGCATGGTCATGTTCAATTCATTTCGAATTCCTCTCTTGATGTGTAGCATTTGCTTGGTACAGCTTAAATTATCTGAAAAAATAGAAATATTTACATACATACCACTCAATTCTTATATATTTATATGAGTTGATTTTTCAGAATTAAGTAGAATTATTTTATTAAAATGAAAGTGATGTACAAATACTTTTTACATGATTCTCATAATATGAAAGACAAGAAAAAGAAAATATCTGGAAAAGAAAGATATAACACATATATATCTAATTAGTCAATTCCTAATAATTACTGGGAGATAAAAGAAAAACATAAAATAAAAAAGGAAATAAATTCAATCCTCATAACTTCGAACACACCCCTTCGAGTTGAAACATAGATGTCAATCATGTTCAACTTAGATTTAAAATCATCAAACAATAAGCAAGGAAGATCTTTGGTGAGATAGAAATTGATATTTTCATCTCGTACTTGGTAATCAACCTCAAGAGCATTTAGAGATACTTTTAATTGATTGTGGTTGTCTTTGACTGCAGTTTCTGCAATATCAATAGGTAGGCATAAGATTTCTACAAATAATGTTGCGGGGAAGTAGACAACCTAAAGGATATTGCTACAAAGAAAAAGAAGCACCTGCAGGAAAAGCTGCAATGTATGGCCACAGGTAAAAAAGAAGAACATATGCAAGGAAAGCTACAGGGTATGGTCCTACAAGTAAAAAAAGAATAGACACTAGCAGGAAATGCTGCAGGTAAAGCAACAGGGTATGATCATTTTATATTTGGAAATTAATGCTAACTCCACTTCTTTATTATCTATTATAAATTTATCGAAGATTGCAAAAATTCAACACTTTGGTAAGGTATTGATTGTTTGGGAGGCTGGAAGATTTTATTCTATTTAATTAGATTTTGATTGAATCCCTTCATTTTCTTTCCTTTGAATGCAAAAACATACATACTTATAAATATAGGGTGGCAGTGCTTCCGTGTTTGTAATAAACTCTAAGGGTGTGTTTGCTTCTGCTTATCAAGATAAACAGTTTAACCTGAAAAGTGGCTCTCAGGGTTCGACTCACGGCCAGCGTTTAGGGTAAAA